TGTGCTCTCCCTCTCGCTTTCTCTCCCTGTCAAATAAATAAATAAAATCTTTTAAAAAAAGTTATTTATTTATGAAATACCTACATCACTGACCATAAAAAATGACCTGCTCATAACTGGCTCATTCTCTAAGATCATAGCATATGTCAGCATAAATGTACACTTTGAATCCTTTCCCCTATTCACCCCGTTGGATTTCAATAGCATTTCTTTTGCTTTCTGTTTAATTGAAAATTAATTATCCAACAGACAAGTCCCAGGACTCCCATCCAGAATATATTCCTTCGTTTATTTTTTTCTTTGCCTTGACCAATTAAAACTTCTGGAATCCACTGAGATTTTTATATGACGAAGTTAATTATTTTGCATAATTTAGGAGCAAAGTCTATTCTGGTAACAACTGTTTAACTGTAATTTCAAAACCATCTCCTTTATAGTCACAATCATTCTATAAGAGTATTGCAGTTCTAATAACAAACGTTTGAATTGATAGTGTCTCTTTAATATTGTACAGCAAAGAATTTTGTGAAGTAAAGACATTAACATAGTCTAAAAGCAATGTAAAGTCTGAGCAATCAGCATAAGGGAAAATGAGCTATTCCATGTAGAGTCTTCATAATTGCTCTGAAGCAGTATATCCCAATGGGATGTGCACATGTACACTTTTGAGAAAAATTCATGAATAAGGGATAAAGAAGGAGTTTGTGCCCATCAGTTTCTCAGGGAGAAAAGATCATGTATCCTCATGTATCCTACTTTGTTTAGACAAGTGATAAAATTAATTATGTAGAAGAACTACAGAGACCAACAGAGTTTTTGAACACTCTCCATGCACCTATTTTTTTTTTTTTAGTTTTTTGAAACTGGAAATATTGGAAATTAAGTTTTTAATCAGAGAGATATATGAAAATGTATTTGCTGTGGATCATGAACACAAAATGAGGAAAAAAAAGAGGTGCAGAGGCTTAAGAGGAGTGTAGAAGTGATAGTGAATTTCAGAGGAAAAAAAATAGACATTTATGTAGACACCAGTATATGCATAGAAAAAAATTCTGGAAGAATACATAAGAAACTTTTAATTTTAGTTTTGTTTTTAAGGGAGGAATCACCTTTCATATTAAAGCTTTCTACACTGAATTAAAAAAAAGGATAGACACTTTAAGAGCAAGGTTAAGATTCCAAAGGAAGAGAATATGTCATTATTAAAACATAAAAATTATTAGGTTGCAAGAAATTTTTCTCTCTTCTGAAGGGCATTAAAAATACTGAGATACTTCTAAAAACTGTTTTTTCCTATTACTATTCAGTTTATAATCTTATATTTAATTATTAAACATGTCTGTAGGTAAGTTTTCTGTTGTTGTTGAGAGTGAACCAGGATGTTGCTGAGGTCAAATAATTTTCTTAATTTTAACTTTAGCACGGAGGTACAGCATTCCAAGAGTACATTTGTGTTACACAGAGGGACTCAGCTTTCATCATGATTATTATTTCTATTTCTATATTGTTACTTCTATATTATATATATCATATTAACCAAATCAATAGCATTCTGTATTAATGAGTAGCTTTTTCAGCTCTTGACCGTATAAGATGATTTCACATTTCTATAATTCTATTATATTTATAAAACTGCATGCATATTCAGTAAGAAATTATAGAAACTATATAAACCAACACCCTTAATTGCACACTATTGAACTTAGCTTCTTTTGAAGGTTTGTGTTTTGATCAAGACTGTGGAGGTGCTTAAAAAAAGGAGATGTTTTTAAAAAAAACTCTACAAATAGGGAAAGATTGAGGCTTACTAATATGGAACCCAGTTCTAGTTGCTTAAAAAAGAAAAGTATGTAGGAAGAGCCTATAATTTTCACTACTATCTTTGGGCTTGGAAAAATGCCCAGGTTAGTGACAAAGGGAACTTTGGGGGAAGACTCTAAATCTACCAGAATGTAAGAGAGAAAATGGAAAATCAGATGGATAGCTTCATTGAAAACACAGCCATGTAAAATCTTCGAGAGTTAAAGGAATAATAGCAGGATTTCTATTGATTTTTTCCAAATTGAAATATTACTATGATTTAACAATTTCCGTTATTTTGAAAATAAGCAGAGATGCAGCTGTAAGCCATTAACTACAGTCAAAGTCATTATGAATTTGCTCTTGGGGCCAGGATCACATATCAACTGTGACCCAATCTTGAAACCTGATTGTCTTTCTGATCTTAACCATTTTTTTGAAGTACAATTTCCCCGGCATCTACCCCTTCTTTTTTCAGGTGGTGTTTTATGATGTCTAGGACACTGCTTCTCATACTTCAACATACACATAAATTTCCTGAAGATTTTATTAAAATGCAGATTCTGACTCCCTAAGTCTGAGAGTTTGCACTGTAGTAAGTTCCCCGTGATGCTGATGCTGTTGGCTTGAAGCCTGTACTTTGACTGGGAAGGGACTCTGGAATACTGCAACATCCCCCTAAATGATTATCATTGGATTGATCTTTCTATAACATGATTTTAATAAAAGTCTTCCTTTGTTGGAAAACCTTCAGGGATCTACCAAATCTAGTTTAAAGCCCAAATCAAGTCATTCACTGCCTTCCTAATTTTGAAAAAAACTTTCTATCCTCCACCACTCCCTTTCAAGAACTCTGAGTTTTAGTCAAACTAGCCAAATGTCTGCTTTCTGCTGAAGTTCTAGTTCCACCCAAGAGGTGGACCTAGTAGACTACTGGATCTTCCCCTCCCGCTTCCCAAATCCCTCCCCCTCTCCAGAAGAACAAGGGAGAGAAAAATATGGAGAAAATGGTGAGCAAGCCCTGAGTCGAGGAATGGGGAAAAGGGAGCTGTTTGGAACACACGTGGGATGGTAGCTCTGGCCTGGGGCAGAAGGCGACTCAGCCTGGTTGTAGGAGGCTAAAATAAAAACTTTTCCCTTCATTTCCTTTGGGATTTGCAATGCCAGGCCCTGTGCTAGCAGCAACTGAAAGCTGGCTCAGGTCTCCCCAGCAGGAAAAGCAAGGGCAGTGTAGATACCTGTAGATACAAGATAGTGCTTGTGGGCAGCTGACCTCAGAGCTCTCCATACTTTTCCTTCTCCAAGCCTTGGGGCTGGGAAAGTACAATCTCACGTTCGCGGCTGTGAGGGATTTAACTGTGCTTTTCTGGTATCATCTTCATTAGGTTTAATTAGCAATGTTCTACTTGCTTTATAAAAAAAAAAGTTGGGAAGTATGCTTTCTTTTTCTGTGTTCTGGAATAATTTAAGCATAATTAGAATCATCTGGTGTTTGAAGGTTTGGTGGAATTCTCTTGTGAAGCCATCTGGGCCTGTTGCCTTTTTAAGGGGGTAGGATTGGATAATTTTTCTATTTTTTTTTCCTATGGAAATTAGTCTACTTAAGCCACCTCTATTTAATGGTATCAGTTTTGATCAATTAAACTTACTGGGAAATTACTATTTCATCCCTATATTATTTGCATAGAGTTGTATAAAATATTCTCTTCAGTATTTTAATTTCTTCTCTTTCAGTGATTATTTCTTATTGTGTATATTTATGCTTTCCCTTTACCCTTTTTTATCCCTCAGTAAGTTACCAAGTGATTTCTACCCCAAAGAACCAGCATTTTAACTTATTAATTCTAATGTTTTTCTAATAATTACTTTCTGCTTTATTTTTACCATTTCCTTTCTTGTGCTTTACAATGTTTGTGTGTTTGTTTTGTCCTAGGATTTCAGGTTGGGATTTTAATTCATTTACTTTTATCCTTTCATTTTTATTGATGTTAAGTGCTTAAGGCTATGAATTTCTTGAATCACAGCTTTTATTATATCCCATACATTCTGTTTTTATTATCATTATTTTTAAAAGAAATTCTGACATTTAATTTAGCATTTTCCTTTTACCAAAGAGTTGTTCAATAGAAGTTTTACATTTTCAGCTGGAAAAGACACTTTAGATATTTTCTTGTTAATTTCTATTAATACTGTGCTCTGATCAGAGAATGTTATTTGAATTATTTCTCTATTATGAAAATGAGGATTTCTATGCGATATAATATATGCTCAACTTATGTGAATGTTCCATATGCCTTTGAGAAGAAGGTATGTAAATTATTATTGGTGCTAAAATTCAATATAGATTCATAAGATCAACTTTATTCATGATGTGAGAAGTGTCTTCTATCCTTTCTTGTTTTTTGTCCACTTGATTTTCTTGGTCTGGGAATGATACACTGAAGTCTTATAATATTATTTTGTTTTTGACTGTTTCTCCTGGCATTTCCTGGAGTTTCTGTTTTATAAATGTGGTAGTTGTATTCATGGCTATTTAAGAATATTATCTTTGTTATGAATTATGATCTTTATTATTTTAACATGTCTTTCCTTGTTTCATTTAATACTTTTTGTGATGATTTATACCTTGTCCAATATCAAGATGTCAACCCTGCATTTATATATGTATGTATTATGTATGTATGTATATATTTAAAGTAACAAATGAACTTTTGATCTACAGATAAAAACTACTCAGCGAAGGTCAGTAACCATTTCAGTTCCTACTCTGTTAGAGCCATATCCTGTACAGTCTTCAGGATCTAGGTTAACAGGTTATTTTCATTATTTCATGTCATCCACAGTATTAGAAAACAAGGCATTATAGCAGTTTAGATGAAATGCACTGCTAGCAGCCAAATCCAGTCTCTTATATTCCATACTTTTTCTTCTTTCTTCTTCTTTCTTTCTTTCTTTCTTTCTTTCTTTCTTTCTTTCTTTCTTTCTTTCTTTCTTTTTCTCTTTCTTTCTTTCTTTCTTTCTTTCTTTCTTTTTCTTCTTTCTTTCTTTCTTTCTTTCTTCTTTCTTTCTTTCAAGATTTTATTTATTCATCTGAGAGCGAGAGAGAGAGAGCACAAGCAGGGGGAGGGGAAGAGGGAGAAGCAGACTCCCAGCTGAGCAGGGAACCCGATTGAGCGGGACTCAATCCCAGGACCTGGAGATCATGACCTGAGCCACCCAGGTGCCCCATACTTTTTCTTTAGATCTTCTACTTTGTTGTTGGAAGCTTTCATGGCATCTTCCCTGGAAGTTCCTTTCAGCTGATTCCAGGCATCCCACTTGGCCTTGCCTTTGAAATCCAGCAGCCTAGGCTGCTCTGTGTTTGTGTCACCCACAGTTCCTTGTTCATAGCGGCTGTAGGTGAACAGCATCTCATCATCTGCTGGCTCGGTCTTGAGGTGCTTAGCATCCTCAGCAGTTTTGTCAAACTCAGCCTGAGACATGCCGGCAGGGTGGCAAGGATTCCAGGGAACCCTGCATTTTTATTATTTATATTTGTCTGATAAAACTTTGTCCATCTCTTTATTTTTAACATTCCTTAAACCCCTTAAGGATGTTGATAGTATGTAGCATAGAGTTGGGTTTTACTTTGTGAATCAATCTGAAAATCTGTTTAATAAGTAAATTAACCTCATTGACATACATTGATATGACTAATATGTTTGGTCACATCAGTAATGAACTCTTATTATTTTTTTATATTTACTGTACATACTGTGATAGTTACTATGATTCACCATGTGGTCTGTTTCCTTGCTTTTTTGTTTTTTAAGGGGTCTGGAGTGGACAGAGTATTTAATTTGGTTTAGGAAAATTTGTATTTTTTCTAATGATTACCTTTATTACCTTAGTCCCTTTATTCCTTATTTAGGCTTCTACTATTTGATTTGTCAGCTTAAGATGATCTCAGTATACAGTATTCAGAAAATGTGTTTCATTTTTTTCCTTCCTTTTCCTGTTTTTCCTCCCATTTACTTAGCTATATTTTTAAATTCTGTCAGAATATTTAACAGGTACATACTATTCTTTCATCTCTTTGCCCCATCTTTATTATAGTCTTAAGTCTGTAATTAAATATGTATATTAAATATCTTCAGTGCTCACCAAAGGTCCTCTTGTTGAAGTTTTTCAATTCCTATCAAGCTGGCTGAAGGTCTTCCTCTAGTAGATTCCTCAGGAAGCCTCATGAGGACTGTATTCTCTGGATTGTTACATGTTTGAAGTTGTTTTCTATCCCCTTGGTTCCCCATTCAAAGGTGAGATATTGGAGACACTCACTGAGATTTCTAGTTTGAGAATGGCTTATTCTGTTGGACAGAGAAGTACAATTTCCTCTTTGTGGAGAAGCAAGTTGGTGTATCTTCTGATTCTCAGTTTCTTTGGTTTATTAGTTCTGCTTAATCTCAACACCTGCTGCTCCCTTTACCACCTAGCCTCCAAGGGATGTGTCCACCAAGAGCTCTTCCTTTCCCCCAGAGGCCGTACCTTTTTCAGGACTGTTGCTTCCACTCCTGTGCACTTTTCTGCCCCTTCCTTTCAGTTCTCCAGGAGCCAGTGCTCTGATCTGGCAGGTCTTATCTTTATTCCCGGCATTTCTCCAGTCCATGTGGAACTTTCTCCTCCTGGGAGTGATGTTATATCGTTGTGGGCTCTGTTGCTGCTGTACCCCACTCTCTTCTCCTTGTTTTTGATCTGGCCTAGGCCCTGGAGTGGTTCTCCAGCTTTGGATGCTTAGACGCTACTTCCATGTAAATTGATATTTGTCGCAATCTCTGTCTCCCAGTCATGTGGTAGGCATGGGTTATGGCTAGTTTTATTTGCTCCCTTTTGGGATCTGTGTGGTTTTGGAGAAAGTGAGCAGAGATTTGAATTTAGGCAATCACCATCATCCTATGGGAACTCAAAGTGCAACAGATACCACTTTTTTATTTTAGTAATTTGAGTTGAATTGTGTTGTAAGAACTTTGAGGGCACACCTAACACATTGTCAGGTATATAATAAGTGATAATTAAGTATCTGATGGAGGAATGTATTAATAGATATTATAATTCACTTTACTTTAGCAAAAGAAATTATGGAGGAACTACTCTAATATTTATGGTAAAATAATCATGCCTAAATTTTATTAGTTGCTAACTCAGTGGCTTAATTGTTGCCAGTCTATCAGTGATATATTATGGAAGTTAAATACAGAAATCGTTTCATGCATTTGGTTACAATTCTGAGAGACAGAGTGAGGTGAGCATAAATCAGGATAGACAACATGGTAGATGTGATTTTCCTTCCTAATAATGAATGAGGCTAGATGAAACTTTTAGGTAAAGAAAACAATAAGCTATGCATTGTATTTTCTTTGGTTAAAAAATTACATATATTAAGCTCTCTACTTTTAGCTACTTGGAAGGATGTCATATAAGAAAAAAAAAAATCCATGAAACCTCACCAATGATTTTGATCAGAGAATGTTGGCAGACTGAACGAAGTATCTGATAAAGTAAATGTTGCCAAATAATTTCAATGTTTTTAGTAGATGGTTTCTTAAACTTAATTGTGTGGCTCTGTGAGGACACACACAAAAAAGTAAATCAGAAAAGATAAATCAGTACCACTTTCAGGGGATGGGACTGATAGTGGCCCCCATCTTTCTCTAGAGCAGAAGTTTTTATGGTGGTGAGCATACTCCGTATCTGTGCTGTCCAATGATGGCTACTAGCCGCATGCGGTGAATGGCCTGAGCAACTCAATTTTTAACTTGCTTATTTTAATTACTTCATGGCTACTATATTGGGCACTACAGGTATCCAAAGAGACATTCATGAGCTCAGGCTTGAAGTTATCTTATTTGGGGGAGATAAAAAGAACAGGAGAGAAATTTGGGTGGAAGTGAGGATTATCTGTCTGTTATCTATCTATCCATCATCTATGTATCTACATATCTATCTATCCATCTATCTGAGAAAGAGCAAGCGACTAGTTTTTCATAAGGAAAAAAGAGGAAATGCTATTTTCTACTCTTAGGTGAGCTCAGGACTACTTGTAAAGTTTTGAGTCTTTTCAGCTGTTGCCTCTGCTGCTTTGTATCAGACTATGATATCCACCTTTATGTTTAACTCTTTGAACTCTTTCATATTAGTGAAATCCATACGTAGACTATCACTTGGTTGGTTGAGTATTTTGAAACTAAGTTAAGGAACACATATACTCACATGAAACGCACACCAAATCCATCCCCATATTTGTCCTGATGTTGAGCCAAGAGCTATCTAGAAATTTATTAACCAGACCTTTAGTTTACTGGTTTGTTGGATTGTTTAAGGCCTAGGTTTCTTGGATTCAGGACTCAGGCTGCCTGAGTTTCAATTCTGGATCTCCCATTTATTAGAAGTGTGACTCCTGGAGACATACTTAACTTTTGTATTAGTTTCCCCATGGGGTTGTTATGAAGGTTAAATGAAATCATAGTTGTAAAATACATAGAATAATGCTTTACACTGCTTATTGAACAAGTTAAATTAAAATTATTAAAGATTAGGTGCTACCAGTATTAATGACATTTTCTCATTCATCAGAGCTTGTTCAAGTATCTGTCACGTGGTAGACATCAGAAACACCATCAGGTGACTGGCCAGGTTGGTACTGATTTAGTAGGCTTCATATGTGATGGGATCCATGTTCAGGGTCTCAAGATGGTAGCACAAGCTCTTTGTTCCTTACTGCCAGGCAAATAGAGAGCAGAAGAAATGTTGAGGCTTTTAGTGAGATGAGTTTGAAATAACTGCAAATAGGAAAAACATGTTGTCTGATTTTGCCACGAAATACCTTCCAGTTTAGCAATTCTGAGACAGATCTGTTTGCAAAATGTGAGTAGGTACCTAGGTTAGGCTGATAGCATACTCAATATTCTGTTGCTAAGGTTCTAAGCCTACTCGTGGTATCTATTTTTAGAGTGTACAAGAATGAATCAGAAGCCTATGATTAATTATTAATGATTGTGAAATAACCCTGTTGGATGATAGAATGTAGAAAGTTTTAATAACAGCTGCTTTGAGGATTACTTTTAACAAACACATAAAAGGATTTTTGAAGATATAGTTTACCTCCTTGGAACATTGCTTGTTTTGAAGTGATTTTCCCTTTAAATGTCTATGGTATAATCCTATCTTGAAAAGAAAAGACCATGGCGATGACAGGCTCCAAAAAGATTAATTATAGCTCTTTATTTATTAGCACGCAAACTAAATTCATAAAATTTGTGAATGTCTAACAGCCTATCAGATTAAAAGAAAACTTTTTTTTTTCAGTGTGGTGTCCTTTTTAATGTCTATAATAATTAGTGATTTTGATCATTTACTACTTCCAGGCTCTGTCCTCAGTCGGTTACATAGGTGAGAAAACTCAAGGGTGGAAAAGTTAAATACCTGGTCATGGTCACACAGATAGTAAGGATGGATTTGATCCTGAGCAATCTGACTCAAGGACCTGTACTCTTGACCTTGATTTCTTTTCTAGCTCACAAAGAGGACCCACCATACATCACTAAACAAGGCCATGGGAAGATTATATCTTGTACAGATTTCATTCTTCCACATCCTACTATAACCATTCGTTTGTTTAACAGACACTGAACACACACTAAGCTAATGATGGATACGCCTTATTGAGCATTTATTGGCGAATGGTTTGAATGTATCATCTCATTTAACCCTTGTAGCTACCCCATGACACAGCTTAGAGACCTTAAATGGCAGCGTGTTGCCGCGAGCACAGAGGCAGGAGTTAAATGCAGGTCCCCTGACTCCAGGGCTAATCCTCTTCAACCCGTTACAGGCAGCGGATTGTGCTCAGGGCTGTAGAATATGGACGTTGCTCAAATCACCAACCCTTTGAAGAACTTGGAATGCAGTTTTGCTGGTAAGATATGCATGCAAATAACTGTGAGGAGAGTTATAAAGGTTAGAGATACTCTCCTCCCAAGCTCATCAGACACAGCAATCACCTTTGACAAAACAGGAAAGACTACATAGAAAAGGATATCTGAGCTGATTAAAGAAAGAAAGTGAAATTTGGAAAAGGAATGATTTAGGAAATCAAGGTCAGATAGTGAAAACTAGCAGTAGGCATCTGTAGTGATTTTGAAATAAGAAAAACAGTTTTATTATTAATAGGCCTGTTTCCATTTTTAAAACACAGCACGAGGATTTTCTTTCCAAAGTTGGTGTATACTTTCCTTCATTTGTTTAATAAGTATATACTGAGTATCTATTGGGTATAGGATATTGCTGATGCCAGCAGTGAAGATAGCCAGTGTTCTAAGAGACAGAGCTTATGGCCTAGTGGGGGAAAGGCTGTTGGAGCTTATGGCCTAGTGGGGGAAAGGCTGACCAAAAAACCAAAAAACAAAAAAAGTGAGGTGCACAGCCTGTGTAATGATGATAGTGCTCC